GTTCTCTCGTATGTTTCAGAATAAGTCTACGTATCTGTCGAAAGACTATAACGAGTTGGCTCGATTCCGTCAAAATACTGCGGGTTTCACTGAGGGGAAGTGAGGAAGATGTGATGGGAATAGGAATCAAATGATCGAGATGAAGGTACATTACAGAAAATGGCGCAATTTCTGACCAGCGTTCAAAATCTACTCACGGACACCGGAGAACAGAAATACAGAGCAGCATAAAATATGCACAGAAAACCCCGGAAGTTTCTGTGGATTCTAGGAGATTCAGGAACAACCGGCGAGTTCATGTTCAGCTCACTGAAGTGCTGTAGGTTCAAGGCGAAGAGGCACGATGACACGTACTACGTTCCTCCAGAAAAAGACCTAATCATTGCATCCCTATACTGTTATTTTGAAACCCTTGCTATGAAAATAGCCCACGCGATAATTGAGCCCAACTTTTTAGCCTGCACCACTTCGGTTCTGTCAAGATGAATTGTAATCATAGTCATTTAGCAGCCCTGGATTTTCAAATTCCCCCCTCTCGTAATTTTAAAAATCTTATTTATAGATTTGTTTGGCACTGATCTGATATTGCCTGCCAGATCCCACAAAACGTTACTTGCCACAGTAAGAATTTACGGTTCACAAATTCCAAGGTCAGTTGATTAATCTTCTTGCCTTCGTCTATAAGTAAGCAGAAAAACCATGGTCTATTTTTGAGCGCAACAATGACAGGTCTCTTTGGCGGAAAAGATCGTTGGCTCGAAATCCCGGGATGATGATCCCTAATCTTAAATTTACAGAAGCCTGCCACATTCAAATGGAAATCGAAATTTCCAACAATTCTATGATTGCTATAATAAGATTCCGCGCAGCTGGGGTCTTGAAGTACAGTACTGTACTAAATTCATTCCCCCCATGAAGCATAGCTGGACTTCGATTCGTTACGCGTACCACTTCGGTTCTGTCGAGATCCGAGAATGATGCGAAATCTCCACGCGGTCGAAGTTCCAGCGCAAGGTTTCCTCGCGTATATATTTTTTCGAAGCTCTTGACTCGCTGACGAGTTCTGAGGGTTTTGTTGTTTTTTAATTTTATGCATCTAGTTATGCCTGACGCCGGAATGCATTTCGACTGCGAGCAGAATGCTTATGGCGATGGACAGAAGTGTGAACCCTTGTGAGGATTTTTACCAGTTTTCCTGCGGTGGATGGACGAAACGAACCAAGCTGGACGACATGGCGGTCGCTGTGAGCATGATCGCAGACGATTTGCGGACCAATGTTCGGAACGATCTCATTGGTGAGTTTTCTGCTTTGCTTTCTGCAACAAGACACAAGTACAGTATGAAGAAAAATCCGACCTTCATCATGAAAAATCTGACCTTAGCTTCAAATATGCAACGATGCATGAGGAATTCACCGTGCCCTTCGCTCCGCTTTATCAATCCGGATCAAACGCTATATGTCATATTCATGTCTCTCGAAGAAATGTAAATATTTTATAGCAAATCGGTGTCAACTCCAGTGAAGCAAATCGGCGAACCGTTCAATGATTAACGAGTAAGTTTCGGAGGGAAGCCAGAAAATCCCGGGATGCTCCAATCAGCACCGGCTTGGATGTTGCTTCGATAAACCGGTATGTGCATCGACGGGGGTTCTCTTTTCTTGTGATGATTATTTTCGAGAGCGTTTCCCTTTGAAAGTTTAATGAGTACCGTATTACTTTGGATTTCTAAATTTCATGCATAAGCTCCCCTTTGGAATTCATTCGATGCTGACATTCTGTAATTCGACCAATCACAAGTAACGAAGTATGATTATGAATTTTCGGATGAAGGAACTTCAAATTTGAATCGAGGAAATTCCACTCAATTTCCGAAATATTTCGCTTGCGATTTCACTCCTTTTTCTGCAAAACTGTCGGTTTTATTTATTGTAAATGTGACTGAACATGGAAGTGAGGGTCTCATTCCTCATTAAGTCTCAGACAATGGGGAGCCCTATAAGCATAACTCGCAGGTCTTCATTTTATGGCGATACAGTACAAGTAAAGTTCTTCATGCAGGTACCACTTTTAAGCAAAACCCCGAAAAATGCGTGGGCGTAATTTTCTCACAAAAATTATGGATTATTTCATGGGCATACGGAATATTAAATCCTGTCCGAGTAAAGCTTGCTGGAAGATATTTTATCTTTTTATGGCTGTAATCATTAACCCTCAGTTGATAGCTGGGCTTTTCAACCATGGCACGCGCACCATTTGTTGGATATTGAATTTGGACTCCTGTTATTCCATGTCTCAAGTTGGAAGCCGGTGAGTAAGGTGTCCAATGAATCTTTCATCGAACACTTGAGCCCTCTAGGCTAAAAAGGAATTAGAACAAATGAAGATATCCTCGAATCAAGTTTAGGATGCTATCGGGTTCAGTTACAGTCTAAGAATGAAATTATCGAGCTCGGAATGTGCAGTTGGTCCTGAGCCTAGATGTACACTGAGAAGGTATTATTAATACACTGGTCCATATTGGGAGAGGTACAATCTGCATAAAACTCTGATTTGCAGATTTTTGAATGTGCAGTGGGGCCCTGAGATGCGGACATGATTGGTGCTTGGACCTTGTCCCAGTGTCTGAACGTCCGCATGTTGGATCTCGTTTTCCCTTAGGCTTCAATAATGGGAACACAGACCCCCAAAATAAAAAATGTCTCCTTTTTAAAAGGCAGAAAGTAAGTGGACAGAAAAAAACCCACAAAGAATCTGATATTTTGGCATCAGAAAGGATGGAGCTCAAGAACCAAAGTACAATAACATGTCTTGCCTTGGACACATCATGGAAAAAACTGAAAAAAGAAGCACCCAATTATTGCCTTTTTTGATGGTGAATTAGGGTAATTTTAAAATGAAGTTTATTTTAAATATTTGTGAATGTAGGAAGCTCTATTTCTCTAAGGAATATGAAAGTTTAGAAAAATAAATTTATTCAATTTTTCAGAAATGTTGGAAAAGTGTTCGGATTTCAAGTCAACGTCCGTATGTCGGGGGGCACATTTTTTCAGTTCCAAGTTTCCCTTAGTGAAGTCGTCCATTTGTCAAGGCGTCAGTATGTTGGGGCCCACTGCATTTTAAATTTAGATGAGTCGACTTCGTAGTTTTCCAGGCGTATTTCGAAGGTTTCGGAATTTTATCCCAGTATAGTGAGTGTTCGGCATATTTTGCACCCATTGAATCTCAACAAGAATTATTTAAATAATTTACCGAAGTTAAAATTTCGGATTTTGTTGTATTTCCCATGACCCTAGACGTTCGCCACTCGACGGTGAGCGACGAGGGTTCCACATTTAATCTAATACTCGTCCCCTGTGTCACACGGTACGCGAATCAAAAGACTTGAAAGACAACGAAGGGCGTGTTTTTCTACTCTGGAACCGTAAATAAGTCGTAAGCGTGAGCAGGTCACGCGTTTTCCAGCGTTTCATCTCGGATTTTATTGCGCTTGCTTGCGTGTGTATGTCCGGAACTTCCGCATTCGGATTCTGTTCGGTAATTCAAAACTGGGCCGCAGTAGGTTTAACCTATGCCGGGATTGTTTTCAGCACTTACGGAGATAAAATTTTTGCCGAACTCGCATGCACGTCTCAAAGAGGATAATCCTGGAGATGTTCGTTCTTTGCATCTGCACAGATTTGCTGTCAGCGGATCCAAACCCCGACGATCCTGCGGTCTTCAACCAGATTAAATACTTTTACGAATCTTGCATGGAGGCTGATGATATCATTGAAGACAGCTCTTCTCGGGAATACCGTAATGAAAATAATTTGTTTGCCTGAAAAAAGCGTGAAAAAATCATGAACGAATATTTCTTCCCCAGTTCGGGAGCTGTTGGAGAAGTACGGGGGATATCTGACAGGTACCACTGGAAGCGACGACTTGTCCAAGCTCATGACATTCATGATCAACGTCCACAGCATCCCATTTTTCCAGATTTCTCTGAATTTTGACGCCAAAAATGTTTCTCATATGGCTCTCGAGATTTCCCCTGTGCAAAAAGACCTGCGTTCTAAACTCGGGAAGCAATCGCACTTGCCGGAGAAAATCCCTATCCAACCTGAGGGCCAAGAGAACGAAGTGGTCCCACCAAATGATTCACACTTTCATTTCTCCTCCGATGAACGTCTGGTGAGATATTCTCAAGTAATTCAAAATAATGATGATCGGCTTTTTAAATGCTGTATTTCGTATTAAAATGCGAGTCTGCCAGCGTCAAAATCGCGAGTCGTGATTATTTGATATCATCACTCAACTGTCTTTTGCATCTCGCCATGAAAATTGCTTAGACGAGAGCATTTAATGTGTGTATGTGAATTATCTTTTGTAGACAGCTTAATTTTATATGCTCGTTCTTGTGTTGACTGGCGAACGGAGATCTGGAAAATTAATACCGGATCAATTATGTTAATTTGATGAGACGGCTTGACATACATACCTTGCTCGTTGGCAGACGCCGATGAAACGGAAAATTTGTGACAATTTTTCTTGCATTCAATTCCTATACATTTCTAGCTCTTATTTTTTTATCGTCGAAATTTTCCTGGAAAAAGGAGGTTCTGGTTTCTGTTCGCGCACTCGGTGCATGAAGAAAATAGTGGTCGAGAGTTTATTCAAAGAAAGTAATAGAACGGGATGAATGGCTTTGAATATTTTCCTGAGACTGCGAAGTTGGTGCGAGGATTATGATCGGGAATTAAGATGGCTTTTCTCCACCTAATCTAGATTGTCGATGAAACTTGGGAAGATGGAGTGAACAGGAGCGGGCTGATGAATTCGAAACATTTGTTCAAGATGTTGCAGGTATTACGAAGATTATCCCTACCACGTCTCCGCAAAAGTTAGATCATTCTCAAATAATACCCCCTCCCCCCAACATTCTAGATTTAAGAGGATTTTTTCCAGACGAAGAAGAAAATACATCACAGGAGGCCGACTTTTGTGCTTTGACGTTCGGAAGTGTTTTATGGAATCCCTTACGCTTATACGACTTCAGATCATTTGCAGAATATTCTAATTAAGTTAAGGAGAGAAAAATGGGCGTTTGTGAACTTCTTTTCGGAACGCGAATGTTCCAACAGTTTTTCGAGGTATAGGGCTTTATTCAAAAAAGCGTCTGAAATGGTGGTCGAGAGTTCATTCAAAGACTGTAGCAAGGTCCTATTTTGGAAAGACGCTTTTTGTTGTTGCTATTTTTTTTGTACGTGCTGCAACTATCAAAGAACGTAACGGTTATTCTGTAGCGGAATCACAGAGCCGCCTCGCATCAACTCCTAGCCCACCTTTTGCTCGCTCTCGGATATGCTGTCGAGGACGACGGAGTCGAACAAAATCGTTTCAAGAAAGCCTCGAAGCTTCTTCATGACATCTTCAAGGCATGGTTCCCCTGGAATTTTCTCCAGGCACAACTTTCGCCCTCCATCGAAGTGACAGTTGATTTCTCATCGTCTCTCCTTGTTCGTCTCCGCAGCTGAGCCCCTCTGTCAAGGAGCATCGCAGAGCATCGTTGAGCATGGACGTTTATAACATGTATTCGGTGCGTCAAATGGAAACCGAGTTTTCAATGGTGAGCGTCTTCGTAATTCCATCTCCCGTGAACATATAACGTTTATCCTGCTTTCAAAACTAATAAAGAAGTGGTTACGTGTTATAAACGTGACGAAACCGCGTTCATATTTTTTTCACGTAATGAAGTGGAAGGCGATATGAAGAATAGTTGTAGAACATCGGTTGTTCATCGCAAAATCGAGCCGAGGATTTTATATCGTCCATTCACCGCAGCTGTCGATGGGGTGAATGCTGCTTCCTAAGCGGCTCATGAATGTTCTGCGTATTTCTCAGTTTTTCCGTCCTCTTTGGAACCACAGACCAGTACTTGAGCTTCTTTGATGTGAAAGTCAGTCATATCGACGATGGTACCGCTTCTATACGCCATTTACCCTGTCAACAAATTTGTTAGAGCAACATCTACCACAATATTTGCCTTTTTATTTCATCTTCCCAATTTGTGGCAGACAGCTTGTGAGTTTAAAAAAAAAATCAAAAAAAGAGTCGAAGCGAGAGGAAATGGAATATAGTTGGGAAAACGCGCAAAAATTTTTTTCTTCGTAGAAATAAATAATGGCACATGTATTTATTTTTTCCGTGCTTCCTTAATATTCGTGGCGCCTTATAATTGCGTGTTATATGCTGCCTTCTTCCTTTGAAGTTTCGCACAGAGTACCCTTGTTGATAACTGTATCACGAAATTGAGGTTTCGAAGGAACTGCATACAGTATTTGATTATGCTGCGTTCAGTACTGTATGTTGTGTTTATTATTTGTTTAAATTCTTTTTATTACTGTTCATTGTTCGAGTAGGCTGTTTTGATCATTATAATCCCTCATGTTTCTCCCCAAGGTCATATTTGAATTCGATTCTTTTTACTTCGTTCAACAACTTCTTTGTTCTAAAAGTTAATTTAGTAGGGGCGAGAAATTTTAGTTGGGTTTCTTACCAACGCATTTACTGTTGGATGGATTTCGGAAACTCCATGCTATTCGAAAAGCGGCATTTCAATGATAAACCCTCAACAAATGATCTGCTTACACATGCATGGACAAATATAATCCATTTGGTGAAGCGACGCAAGATATTAATACATGTCCAGCACTTGACGCATTCCTCTTGGTTGATACGAATAATGCATTGTTTCGGATTAGTCGGGTGTTGCGTTCGGCGAGGTGAATTCTAGGTTTAGTATGGGACAATATCGATGGAGCTGTCCTGACTGAGCATCGGTTCTTGTTCATTTCCGGAATATAGTTGCCGTGGTTCTCATGGAAGACCGTGTTGCGAGAATTGCTCATCCATGACTTGTCTGAGTCAGACAAAATAATTGTCTATTTCCCGCAACATTTGAAGCGTGTTGCCGAGGAACTGCGACAACAAGACTCGAGGTAATCGTCGCAGATCGATGTCGGGGGATCGGGACTAACGTTTGCATTTTTTTTCCCCCACACGGATTTTGCGGGATCCTATTCAGCACCATTCGTGACGCTCTCTTGACTCACTTCCTGGGAAACACGATTGCCGATCACATGATTCGGCGAGACAAGAGCATGCGAGAAATCGAAGAAGTTTGCGTGGAGGCTGTTGAACTGATCGCACCCATCGCACTCAGTGGGCTCTATGTGCGAAAAACGTCGTTCCGGGAGATTGAACATTATCGGAAAGAGGTGAGACTTTTGGTGATCAGTATGCTCTCCTCACATTTCGAACATCTGAAATTTCAGATTTTGGAAAAGATTAAAAACGATTTCGGAAAAAACGAAACTCAGAACGTAATCAAACAAACGCGATTATTTGCTGGGAATACGTCAGTCCATCGTGATGGCAGAACTTACCTCGAAGCCGCATGCAGTACTTTATTCTGTATATCTGTGTTTCCTGCATCCGGATAAAACCTCAATACGTTAATTTAATTTCTGCATGCCGCATGGATGTTAGGTAGGAATGATTACTTCCTGTGTCTTCGTCCCGAATTCCAGAAAACTGATCGCATTCTGGCATAGAACGGCTTCATCGTTTGAAGCCGTTCATGGAGAAGCTTCAACTTGTATTCACATTTTATTCTATGAAAAGGCACTTCCGAGTGAGAATGCAATGCTTCTCCAAGAATAATTTGGGTCTTGTGTACCCCCCCCCCCCTCCGCCTCACCTGAACGAACTTCGGTTAAGTATGGTCTTTTAAATAGTACTCGAGGACTTTATTAAATTAATAATGTCTGAAATTTCTGTGGGCTCTGTAGGCCGTGATGAATATTGCTGTGGAATTTTCCAGGTCATTCCGGCGAAAGAATTCAAGATAGGTGAGTGGCTTAGTGGAAGGATGCATTTTATTTGGCTGGTATACTCGAGTTGAGCAGAAATTTCGGTACGCAGCGTTCTTGTAAATGTTAAGTATGCGGGGTTCATTTTTGAGGCTTCTGGAAATCACTTAAGGGCTTGGCCCTTTTTCGTGAGAAACACGGTAGTACTGTTAATCAGACGATCGAGAATCGCTAGGAAGGATTGCAATGATCGAAGGGACGAATGAAAATTTTACTGATTTTCACTGAAGCGAATGAGCGATGATTTGTTAACAGGGGTGCCCAATATCCGGCCCGTGGAGCATTCCTGTCTGGCCCGTCATAATCAACTCATCAGTCACCGCAGGCATTCATTTTTGAGAACCTACAGGTCAACCCATCCCGAAAACAAATTTCTAGAAATTCTTGGGAAATTAGTTTGACTATTTTCAGTGCACTGTAGCACTGCAAAATATTGCAGGAAGTGAATATTTTTCTGAAACCTCCTCCTAAAATTAAATAGCCATATTCTTTACTTGTGGCCCGCAGAGGCATTAATCCTCGTATCCCAAGTGTATATTTTTCTGAACCCTCCTACTAAAATTTGAAAAAAGCTGTAATGTTTTTCTTGTGGCCCGCACAGACTATCGCCCGTGCCATGTGGCCCACCTTCAGTTTTGAGTCGGAAAAGAGATATACTGTAGTCTGTTTATCTTGTTATGTGAAGCAAAAAAAAAAAAAAATTCCCGAGACCTCATAAAAATGAAAAACTACCTTGAGCAGAAGATGCAGAATATGGTACAATTCTACTGCACTATCTTCTGGCATCAGACAAAGGAAAATTGCTGGTGCTGATGTCGTTACGAATAAAGCGGTAACACGACATGACAGAAATGAAAGTGGAGTGAGATGCGATGAATCGGGGGTCGAGGCGGGCTTTATTCTGGTGCCCGAGCGAACCGGGAAGTACCCGCGCTTGATGCATTTGCGCCATGTTTTGTAACCGGACCGCTGAAACGAGCATGTAACGAAGCCCCTCTTCCGATGACTCGATGCAGGTTGCAGACAGTAAATTTCACGCGCTGGAATTAGGCCCTGCTTTGTGTGTCCCGGGCCTTAATATGGGCAGAATAAGTGGATCTTAGAGCCCCTGTTCCATTCGGCCCCACATGTGCTCACAAAGAGCGCCCTCCGGGTCCGACGACTGCCTCCTCTTTGCGTTCATCAAATTTGCATTGCAGAGCAGAGTCACGCGAAGAAGCTGGCGGCATTTCACTAACCAGCATGGCCAAGTTGTGAGTGGTTTTGAGCTGAGAATTAGCAAGTTTCGGAAAACCTTTTGCTTGTTGTTGCTGGGAAATTCACGCTGGTATCACTGGCATTCCTAATTCAATCGTAGGAGTCAGACGCTTCAGGCTCATGCATATGTGGGAATATAAGCTTCTCCGCGTATTGAGTGAGCAAGTTTATATCCATCCATTCGCCTTATTAAGAGCAATTCGATTTCAATTTATACAATGTACATGAAACTTTGATGACGAAGTTCCCATATGGAATGATAAATTTTCGTTCGGCTCTGCGTAGATTACGGGAAGGGGTTGCAATAGTTTTCCCTCGATGACTGACTTAATTCCTTAGTAGGGAATTAATTTTATTTGCAGGATAGCCTTTAAAGTATGCCAACATGGGATTCATCTCCCAAAAAGTCTTCTGATGATCGTCCCGTATTTATTCGGATTCGACCTGTACTGTAATAGAGAATACGGTACAGATGACGTGTGCAAACAAATTTCAGGAAATCCCCGTACATGATGCATAACATTGAAGTAGCTTTGCAGAATTCCACTGATCAGTGTGGGCAAGTTGCGAGTGGTTTTGTGTCTAGAATTAAAAGAGCGTTCAAAATGGCGATTTTTTAGAGGTAATTTTCTTTTTTATCAGTTCGTGACCCTTTGAAGGTGTCGAATTTTCGGAAATGTTCGGTACTTTTATGCTTTGAAGAAAAAATGTGCAGGTTTAACCCGCATTTATTCAAAAATTTGCGGCCCATTTCCTCCAGATTTTTCATCGGGGCAGCGGGCCGGCGTACGAGTCGCGCGTGGCCTATAATGACCTAAGCTACTTGACCTCATTGGTTGATAAGAGGACAGCATTCCCATTATTTGGACAAGCTCTCGACTTTCTCGTCACCACCTGCAAATTATTCGAATATGCTGCTCCTTGTTCATAACTTTTCGGAATTTGTTTCTCTGGACTGGCAAAATTTAATTTTCCTGTATTGTACTGTAGTTCCCAACGTTCCGCGAAGCAGTCAGAAGAAATACGGTATTCTTAATGTCCTCGTGAGAAGCAGCTCGTGCATGACATTAACCTAAGCATCGCAAGTCTGAATACACTGGGTAAAGATGTATTCGTGTCACGCTGGGAAGGAAAACTGGGTATTCCAAAGCAGAGTTGGTCTAATCATTAATAAGTCCCAGTTTCGCATTGCTCAAGAATGCTCCTGGCCTAGTATCAGCGAATAATGTGGTGCCCAAGCTTATTCGCACGCGAACTCTTCGTCATCCAGCAGCGACGTAAATTAGAATTTCGACCTACGGAAACGTCCCGCTTTTAGATAACCCGACGCAGATTGATGCGTGATTGCGTCTTCCTGGACATACGGTCCGTATCCATCAATCTATTCAGCACGTACTCGAAAAAAAAACTCGGTTATATATGTGAGATGGTATTTTTCTATCGCTTCAAAGTACCGAACGTTTTTTCCGTATCGTCAACCCCAAAGGTTTTTTCATGTCGAGCGATCGGAATTTTCGCTCTGAATGAAGTTTCCAAACTTCCGACACGAAGTTGCGGCTTCCGTTGGATTGGATGAGGTGCCGGGGTGGCGTCTTTCGAGTGAGGGGTGAATGGGGGATTGAACCCTTTCATCCGATCAAATGCCGACTGACTGGTTTGCAGTGATGAGGTTTTGCTCCGGATCGACGGCGAAAAGAAATGCTATGTTCCACACTGATCCCGGACGCCTTCGATGAAAAGCCCGTGTATTTCTGGAGATGTAATCAGCGCCCGCTTCAAGTGTGTTCGGCGTGCTTTAATTTTTCCAGGTTAAAAGTTTGCTGGGATACGTGCAGGATTCAATCGCATCGAGAACGGCGGGATTCGAGTGGATGTCGTCTTCAATCCGCAAGCAGCTCGTGGCCGCTACTCGAGGGGTCAACGTACAGGTCGGAGGTTTTGATGGGTTTTGGACCAACGAGTACTTCTCCGAAAGCTCCGTGAAGGTGAGTATGCCACGAACTCAAACAGGAAGGGAAAAAACCACTCTTCACAGGAGCAAAATTTTAACTAGCAGTGAGATTTCAGCGCGCGGCCGTTCGCATATCACCGATGTAGCCGTGGGTTAATCCGATCACGAAGCTCCCGGCGCGGAGAAGGAAATTATTGCGCCTCGTGCCCCGTCATGCGAGGCATTTGCCGCAGTGAATCGCTTTTCTATGGTTGGGGGTGGGAAGAAGATGCTCGGAAAAATAATTAGATCCTCGAATTGTTTCCTTTTTGATCCGCCTGGTGTCTGCTACGGTAGCGGCGCAGCGGTGAGGCGCCACGCAATCCTATTCCGCGTCGCTCGCGTCGCTTGAGGGGAAGAAAGACTAGATAAGAAACCGACTTACCGAATGGCAACGTCATCAGAAGGGAATGGGTCCAGGAAAGTCTACTCAAATCATTGTGGACGTTGACAAAACGCGCGGGTGCAGGAACGTGATGAGCCAACACAGCGCTACCCAACTGAGCGTTGGGCAGATGAGCGACAGGGACAACTGAGCATTTCTCACCCGAGTGTTGCGGAAAATTTAGCATCGCATCCTTCGAGTTTCAACTCATTTCTTCATTGATTATATGACTGAATTCACAATTTTCCGTTCCTTTCTCCGTTTTAAAAATACGTGAATTAACGGGACTTGTGGCGAATTGTACACGAATTTTAATTTAAAAGGAAATCAAATTCCATATGCACTAAATATTTTTTTATTTGTGCCACTTTATTTCTATGACTCAAGAATCAGCTGGACGAACGCACTTCCAAATTTACTGAATTTTAAGATGAGATTAGCAGGGCATTGTTGCATTACTTGCATATTTTTTACCTGCTGAAGTCAGGTTTCCCGATCGTATTCCTTCATCTGGGACATTTATCACTGCTGGAACGAAAACGGGTCGGAGAAATCAAATTTTCAACTGAATCTGCTCTTGAAGGGGGGGGGGGGGTTTAAATTGCTTCTAAATGTTCGTTACCAAACAAATGGTACAATAATGTATTTTTTAACAGGTGGCGGGCTAATCAAGTTGCTCCGGAATATTTTTGTAGCAATTTTTTCATTCGAATTTCTTGGCTTAGAATAAACGATTGTCCTTGGTGCGTAGATATCTTCGGTCGACTGTCCCGACGTTCAGTTGTACTTGGCGTTCACTTGTCCTCGCACTGTGGAGGTACTTGATCTCCTCGGAATCGCCGCGTGTTAGGGTCGATAAATCGTTATAGAGGTTTTTCGGCATTCGGTACTTGATTGAAACTTGTGCTGATTTTGTGTCGAGGTCTCTCGTAATCCTTAGCTCAATCAATTTCTGCAGCTCTTCAACACTGCTTGCCCCCGAGCTAGATTTTTTTGGGAATCACGAAGATTGAGAGGGGTTTCGATGCGCAGAAACCCTTCATATTTCATTATCGGGAACCAGTGAACACGCGAGGATTATTTTTAGCGTACCAGCGCCCGCTTTCCATTTGATGACAACCCATGATTTGCAATTTTAAACTGTTGTGATTGATTCTGGGGATCCAATGCTTCTCTCTTAGGAGCGAAGAAGTATGGTTGATTCCACAGAAATTGGGGCGAAATCCCTCAATTTTTCACCAGCGATGCATGGAAAAGCATGTGGGACAGTGTTTGTTGACTCCAGGTGTAAGATGATATTCGTTGCTTTTCTTCAGATACCGGAGAATGCCTCTTATTTGGAAACTTTCATGATCAACTATTTATCGGAGCCTTCCGGGGATCTGCACGCTGTGTTGAACAATCCGGTTGATCGACTCGAGCTTCTGTGAGTGAAAAATTGAAATTATTCCTATTTTCTTAAATTTGCCAGTGAGATATCTCAAGTTATAATTATTATATTATTTTTCTTAAGTTGGACTTCGGGATTATCGCCGTCTACAGTGAACGCGTTCTACAGTCATGAGTACAACATAGCACGTGAGTATTCCGTGTCAAGATGTCGTGAGGACCAGCAGTGCGTTGATTAATTGACCAATGCGTTGATTTTGTTACCGTCAGTGTTTCCTTTGGCCTACTTGCAAGGAGCATTTTTTCCGAGGGATGTGCCGGGTTATTTGAAATTCAGCAGCATCGGAGAAACGCTTGCACATGAAATGCTTCACTGGTTAGACCCGAAAGGTGAGGCAATCGTGTTTTCCTCTATGTACCGTGTTGCTATCAAGCCTCAACAAGTGCTGTTATGCAGTCATAAATCTCGTAATTGAGAAAGCGGGATATTGTATTTCTTCCAACCTTTTTCATGAAGTGAGACAGACTTTCACCACTAACGGCTGCGTGGTTTTAATACTGTATCATGGATAGTGGGAGGTGATAATTCAGCGATGCAAAAAAACGTGTGCAACAGAGACTTGACCTAATATTTACGACATTTTCTTGAACATTCGAGAAAGTACTTATCACAGAATAAGAAAAAGAAAGCGCCCGAGGTCAGTTTGGGATCGACCAAAATTTTGTGTAAACTCCATGTAGTAGACGAATGAATTTACAGTAAAAAAATTTTACAACAAATTTTTCAGTATAACAAACTTTCTTTCAAGTTTCAGCTGAAATCCTATAGGTTACATGTTATGAAAATCTCATTGCAACAAATTCACCAATTCCGGTTTATCAAAATTTTTTGAGGAACATGTTGTAATATTTTATGAAAAATTCCCAATGAAGGGATGCATAGTCTCAAATTTGCCATTCAAAATGTGACTGTGACTGGTTTTTGGGACATAAGGTGGAAACAAGGACAAACATTCTTCAAAATTCACCTGAGCATCCTCTTTTTTAAAAAATATTTCCAGAGTTACAAAAGATGGATGGTGAGGGGATTAACCTAGCAAAACTCATGTTGAAAAGGGGTTTTATGCTTGAGAAACCCTACTGATACTTGGAAATTGTAAGCTTTTTTGGAACATCCTTCACTCTTACAAATCTGTGGAGGAATTGCTTTGAAAACCCCACTCAAGAGAAAATGCTAGAAAAAGTTACCTGTCATTCAGAGTAAATGTTTGTTACTGTATTCACACCTGAATTTTTTTGAAGGTCACAGTTTTTTCAGCAGTGAAAAACATCTGAAAAGGTCAGGAAAGGAAGATTTCGAATATTTAAACAGGTTCAATTTTTGAAAAATATTTCGATCTGTCAAAAATTTTGAAAATCTCATTATATCAAATTATTTGTTATAAAAAACTTCCGCAGTCCGCAGAAGTTTGTTGTAATGAGATTTTACTGTAGTTGAGAAGTAAGTAAGTTGAGCAGTTTATGGGACAAAGGGTGTTGCGAATAAGAAAACACTATATCGGAACAAGGTCAATTTAATCTGTGACAGTTTGATTTTTTTCATTTTGCCCAATATCTGGGAAATCCATCCAAGAAAAAGCTGTAAATCCAGTTTTCAATATTTGGTGCTTTCTTTGTTAAATGCTATGGTGTCTGTAATATTACGCATGTGTATTGTACTGTTTCAAAAATCTGTAAACGCATAAATTTTATTTTAGCCCAAGTCTGGAATACCACTATTCTTCGTTTTACCGTGATGGATTTCAGTTTGAAAAGTTTTTATGATTGTAGCAACCATGATAAGCATGGTTGAAAATCGAATTATCGGAGAATCGATTCGGGAATAATCGAGATTTTTGCTCGACGGCATGGAACAGAGAAGCGCAGGTGTTGCAAATTTCCCTGCGTGAAAGTATCTGAGTTGAATTTTGAAATCTTAGAAATGAAGATCGTGCGTGGAATCAGTATGTAGAATCGTGTGCGTAGCTTATTCAGGATTGCCCTGGATGAAATACTTCATCCAAACATCGATTCTCGTACATTAAAAAAAACGAAACTATGAAAACTAGTTGGAAGAAACGCATGAACGGACAGATGACAGGGGGTAAAACTTGACATTTTTTAAAAGCTTTCGTGACAGATAGAAGATAAATGATGAGCACGAATGTTGGTCCATGACTCGGAGGGACAATGCCAAGTTGGGAGATAATTGGAATGACTTGTGTGCAGGACATGCGATTGACGCAAAAGGGAACAAGTATCAATCATGGCGGGAATCTGAGACGACGAGATACGACGCGTTCAGTACTTGCTTGTCAACGCACTACGTGGACACTTTCAAAAACGTCACTTTGAAGGGAACATTTTATCCGAACGTGAGTGAACCCGTCTGTCGTTTGCGCTCTGTTACTTCCTATCCATATCCCGTCAACGTTTACGTCTTTACGCGAATATGGACCTCATTTTAATGTTGGACAGACATTTTTATAAAAATGTGAACGGCATTAACAGGAGGAAATGGAAGCTTTTATGGGAAACATGCAGCGTGACTTCGCTGGAAAAAACTGGATGATGCAAGAGCCCCGAAAGAATGCTCTGCATCGTTTGACACAGTTGCTTGATTTTGAAAGCATTTATATATTCTACTCGGAAATAATTCGCCCACGCGGAAGAGGCAAACTTTTCAAATACAGTATTTAATTTTTCGGATTCATAAAAATGTATCCTGGGCTACAAATCTTCTTTATCTCTCAAGTCATATCAACAGAACTCAGGATTATAACACTCGTATTTTTTAACTCCCCATGGTGATAACATTTAAATTTCAAAGTTAATTTCTTCCGAAAATTGTATCTCGACTAGAAGCAATCATGCAATATATTCATGACTCATACAATTCATCGTAAGACTCCATCGAATGTGGCTCGTACCCTGATTTTTGGGTATAAATTTTTAAAGAAAGAATATATCCTTCCAGACCGAATGAATTTAGCCAATTATAGCAATAATAAAGAACTTCATTTAAATAATTTTGATGATATGTCCTTAAGGCCTGATAAGAACGAGAGACAGTATAGAAGAGGCCGCTGGTTAAAGCAACGAGCGAATTGAAATGAGCTGAAATAACGCTGGTGGACAACAAAGATTTTCTCTGCGTAACGAATTTTTTGTGTTCCTTTAGGCTTAAGGTTCTCTCCATATTTTGTAGGGGTTATCTCCAACACAATTACAATCGTTGTAATTTTCTCTCTGCAACGAAATTTTTCTTTTACCTTGAATTTCGTTGCCGAGAGACTCTGCCTGTATTTAATTTCAATTACGGGTGTCATATAGCCTTAATATTAGGTATACGTCACGTGATGAAATCGTTGTGCGGCCAGTGCTCGAACATCTCGATTATTCCGGCTGAACATTTTCCGGGAATTAATTGCGGCCGATATCCGCATGAAAAATATATCCTTTTTTCCTTTGTTTTCAACAGTATGACCCATGGTTCGCTCTTCCTGAGAATTTATGCGACGTGCTGGGGCTTGATTTTGCCATGGCGGCCTACCGTCGATGGGTTGACGACCATGGTCGCGATGTGATGTTGCCTGGCATTGACTTCGAAGCGGATCAAATTTTCCTCATCAACGCTGCCCAGGTGTGACCCTTAATCGAAGAACCCGTCGTACTCTTTCCTTCATCATAATAAATTTAAAATTGGAACCATAGAACCGAAAACTCGATTATCGGATCGTGAAGTTTCACGCGAAATATCACGAGGAAAACCATCGCCGTCGTTCTTCTACGTTTGAAGAAAGGCCTGGGTAAACTTATTTCGGGCGGTACAAGCAGGAGGCGATCACAAAATCAATCCGAACCACGGATATAAACTTCCTAATCCCATAATTTATTCAACGAGTAATCAATAGCATACTAAATAATCGTAGCTGGGACTTGTTGAAGCTATGAACTTCTGAAGAGAAAATCAATGCATAGTTTGGCTTGAATGTTTGTGTCGTACTGTGCAAAGGATAACCTATTGATAGCAAAAATTCCCGGTTTTAAAAATCCAAGTTACGCCACATTCCTTAGGAATAAGTTATGACTAACTTATTCCGAAGAATTCCCGAGCTTCAGGAGAGAATCTGCAATAGTCAAATTGAAATATTAAAGCAGGTGATTGAAATAGTTTAAAATCAAATATTTATGCGTAGTAATACTGTTCACTGTACAGTAATTGCATTTTTAGAGTCGTTCGGAATGAAACGTGAGTCCTGTATCCAAGAAAGCTGTGTTTGTCTGCGTTTTTAATACTGGATTTTAATGTATGCAGGCCTTTAAATTTTACTATGTGATTTGAATCTTCATTCATCGAAAGCATTCAAAAACGAAAAACTATTGCTTGCCGCTTGCTTTCGAACAGCTGCTGAGATGAACTACCACTAGTATATTGCATCTATAAATAAGCATACAAATGGACTCTTTGCAAAGATCGTGCAACATATTTTGCAACATACGATATTCTTAGTGGAACACATTTTTTTATCGTTCAGATATTCTCTGAATGAGGTCTTCGGCGATATCTTCTGGATCATAAATGGACCCTTTTTTAGTCATGTGAATCGTACATGGAGTTCACCTAGGAGAATTAGGGAGGCGTAGTTCAGTTTTCCTATTCAATGGCACGGCATACTCATCGATTTCGGAGACATTACAACCGAAATTTTCAAAATTTGACAATTCAAAGACTGTGTTCAATTGTCCGTGGTGGATCCGGTGGGGTTGGATCAAAATTGATCCAACCCGCACGAAAATTTACTGCCCGCGTAGATCCAAGGGCCATGATTGTTCATAAAGTTTTGGCTGTTTGCCATGCGTGATCAGGAAGATATCCCCGATGTTCCAAGAATAGAATATATGAGTGTACTGCACTCCGAATACTCATTGTTCATTAAAAATGTTATGCATGAGCGTGGTAATTGAATGTGTGGATCCCTGATTCCCGATTTAATTTTTCATTTAATCCTACCTTGTCTTCAAAGATGTCGTGCACAGTACTGGACGATTGGTGGCTTGCGTACCTTCTTGAAACAGATGAGCATACGCCAGCGAGTCAACGGTGAGTGGATTTTCCGTTCTCGAAACCCACACGGGTGCAAACTAATGACTGGGTTAGGAAATTCGTCGGTTGCAGGTTTCCGCGTAAATCACCTCCTATATGTAGCTAAGCGTGCTTTCTCGTCATTTTTACAAACATCGTAGGGCATGGTTTTCATTTTCATCAACGGTGCAAAACCCTGCTGGGGGTCTATAGAAAGCCAAGAGTTAACGTGGCTTTTTTTAGGCGTTGGTTCTAAAACTTCTCTTTATACCCGGAGCCCGTTTTTGAATCGATGTCAATAGCGGAGCACCTTGGAATCAATTTTTCGAGGCCTTCACCCGAGTTGAAGACGTATTTATGGACTTTTTTTCGAGGCCATTGCATCTCTCGGCATGCACAATGAATCATGCTTTTTTATGTTATTCCTTGATTTCAGTATAATTTCTTCAATTTTCTGGGGAAGCCGCGGAGCCCCTGGAAACACCAGACAGAGCTCTGTCTTTTTTTCTTAAAAAAAATGGAGGCAATGCTTTTTAAAAAGAGACGAACTTACCATGTAAAAAGAGTCTTTTTATGGTATGGTTTCGCAGGATAAATGGACAAATGAGCAACTTGGCGGAGTTCGGAAAAATTTTCAACTGTCCGGCGGACTCACCCTTGAACCCGAAGAGCAAATGCACGTGAGTGCTTGTGCCGAACCTTCGTGAATAACGTCCACATCCGGTGATGCAACTCGAGGGACCCCTGTTGACTCGGATCTTGTGCGAGCTCCAAACCGGCCGCATTTTCAGCTTTTCTCGAGGGTATTGTGATCGTCGCGTTCAGCCGGGCATGAACACTCAAGTCAGGTGTTGAATGTCTGATTCGGAAGCATTTTTGAAGAATGTTGACGATTTTGTAGGGTGTGCGTTACCGTCGGGTTCGTTGTACGTGGATGCTACGGGATTTGTGCGAATTTTTTATTATTATTTTCAGGCGTGCGCTTTTTAAAGAAAATTCGGATTAATGGATGTGTGTATCCATGCTCAAAGGTTTCAGCAGCGAAATGTTGCTGTTTTGTCCTTTCGTACAAACTTTCTTCACATCAGATGAACATCTTTGTGCCTGAACGTCCGTTAAAATGGGGCTACTTTCGGTCATGCAAGATTCGGATCGAAGATGGTTTTTCGTCTTGACATTTTCAAAGTATCGGAAAACAATTGCACTAGGTGCTTCATCTTTTGGGAAATTTTTACTGCCTGGAGACACAGAGAAGCAATCACGCCACAGGAGGTTGTGAGGAAAACAAGGAATATTTTGCTTGTGACCGTTCAGGGCAAGCGCAGGAAATCGTCACCCTTCAATTTTTTTATTATCTTCATCAAAGGGTAGGAAATCCATTTTCCTTCCTTATCAATTAGGGATATTGTCAGAAGCAAAAAATAATAATGCATCCCAGAAACATGAATGATGAAAAAGTTGCTCGGAGTATAAAAGAAAGTCACACGACTGTCGTAGCATCCTATGTAATTTTCATTTCTCAGATGCGCCCGCCGTGTGACAAAAAGAAATCACTTGGTTGTTTTGTCGATGCGTTCAGTCCGCATTTCCCATTTCCGCTCAACGCTGCGAACGTGGAAATATTCACATTGTGGAAAAAAACAAAAGAAACAAAAACAAATGTGACGTTTGCAATTGGCTCGTCAGCAAAAATCCTGGGCATCTCGCGACGGTGTTCAACGTTTCACATTCGGCTCACCATCCGTGCAAGTGTGAAGTCTCATTTTTTTTTGCGCTGGTGTATTTCGACGATGAATTTGTGTAAAAATATATCGTACGCTTCGTTTGTGCAGTTGATGCGTTTCTTTCTCGGGATCCTCTTTTCTGCGTCGAAGACTTCAAGCTTGAAATTAACCCATTATACGAGTATGGTGGGGCGCAGTGCTGCATTCGGGTTCCAAGCAGTCAAGTTTCCGTGACTGGGCAAACTCGTTCCAGTGAAAGCATTGAGACAAATTGGCTTGATCTACTGTCCTGTGTTTTTTCCTCGAATTTTTGCATTTGTAGATTTTATATAAGTTAAAAAGGAGTTCTTTTATTCAACTGAAGAATCCTATTTGAAATATCGCTGCACCGGATGATGTACGCTTCACGGAATGGACTTTTTAAAGATAAAATTGGGCTGTTGCATGGTTTTAAATTTTATATTAGGCCTTCCTTCGAATAATGGCTTCAGCAGAAAAAGGCTCTCATTAAAATTACTTTTCATTAATGTGACCACCAGTTTAATTTTGCCAGTAATTATGAAGTTACAATTTGATTCGATTTTTTTTTTGCTTTGAGCATCATTTTCCGTGTTTCTGGAAATTCCCCCCGCAATTTCATCTCTCTACTCAAGAATTAATAAGAGCGTTCAGCATTTTATGTAAGTATGTGAGTATCAAATTAAAAAGGAATCTGGACTGGATTAGCCATTACATAGTGCTGTACTATAATTCCACTTCAAGGGATCGAGGGACTTTTATGAGCCACGGAACCTACGGGTCGTTGTTTAAAGCTTTGCATCGTCTGCACCCGGTTACAGTATGTAGTTTGTTCTATCAGTTACTTCCTCCTGGAAAATAACATTAATTAACATATCACTTTACTGGTTAAAGATAACTGTAATGAGGATAATCAGGTATCTTTCTCCATCATGCGTGAGTTGTGCAAAATCGTGCGGTAGCTCCCAAAGCGCTTACTGAGGATATTTTTGCCCTGAAAATTTATGTATCAGAAAAATCCTTCAAGTTCCTCGGAAAAGCATTCTTCCTCATCGTTGTAATTTGGATTTTGAAACTTGATTTGTGAAGAGGAGTATTTACAGTGCAGATTTTAGCTAGGAAAAAGTAATTGCAGAAGTTTAAAAGACGAGTGGAGTAAACCGTCAATTTTCTGGGATTATGAATTAATTCTTTTTTAGGATGATACAATCTTGAAATTACTTGCAAATACATTAAGATAGACAAAATCATGCAAAATTCATTCTGATGAACTGACGTGATACTTGACGATATTCCTTCAAATCTCAGAGTACATCATTTCAAGACTGTCCTTCGTGAAATTACTGTAAGTTTTTCAAATTAAAATAAGTTGATTTGGTCTTCCATTTTTCACAACATCGCATTTATGTTTATTATGCTGACCAGAGTTACAATATTTGAAGCTTGCTTAAAACGAGGCTCTTGCGCGATTGCTAGAGCTTGAAACAGGTGAAATGCAAGGCAATCTCCTGATGGTCTCGTGGAACATATCTCGTCGCAAACCTTTCGATGTTGCTGAAAATCTCGATTCTCGGGACTGTTTTCCAATCAAAATAACAGCATCGAATCTATAATGCCGAAAAAGCCAGACCCAATCAAACGAAATTCTCTGCTGTTGATCGCTTCCAACATTTGGAAACGCTTTCCAAGAGGGTTTCTCGGGGGAACTGGAACTTCTCCGCACGTTGTGTTGCCTGCGTGGGAGAAGTCCAAAGGCGGAATGTTTCTGGAAAGAATGGATGCTCGACTTTCATCTCTAGAAGTTTTCTTGTACGTATTTCTGGATGCCCTGAGGCTGATGCGCGTCGGAGATGATAAAAATATATCGAATGAAGCGCTGGTGATGAACTTTGAAACTAACCAGTTTTAGCGCGAGCCTGGATCTCGTATAGCGACAAGGAGCTGTTCTCAGGAGATGCAATTTAGGTCTGCATCAAAGACCTCCGCTGAAAAAGTATCCCCAATGCGCAATCCGTGATCTGATAATCCTGATCAACCCTAACGAGGGATAAACATGCGAGTTTTCCATCAGCGAGAGACACGAGAAGATCTAATCGAGATCCATCTGGGCTGTCGATCCTGCCTTTCTCGACCCAGTTGCTGCTTCCACCCACGACTTAGATATCGATCGAAGAGCCGAGGATAAGGCTAGAAAAGCAATCGGTACTCAGCAGTACTGGGTCCAGAATATATATTATATCTTTCGTAACGAGCTGATGAACAGATTGTATCCGCGAAGATAAGATGTATTCGTCTTCAACGAATAAATCTTATCTTCACGCGAAGTCCGTAGGTCCCTGACACTAATGAAGAGGGACGGGATAATCATGCTTTATCTTTGACGAAAATAATAACCTTCGTGTTGAATCGACAGCTTAGTCTACCAGATTCAACCTCTATGCGCCTGCAAGGCTGCAAAGTAAACTAATTTATCGAACTGCGGATCAGACTGATCATGAAGAAAGCGAGGTAAGTGCGTGTCCACCCTGCCATTATGATTATAACCATTAAACAATTAAATATCGCGTCAGGTCGCGTTAAAATCATAATAAGATTTCCATTCACTACCGTGCGCTACGATGCTCGAACTGAATTTTTATTTCTTGGAAAATATGAATTACTCCGGAGCAGAAAAGTGCCTCCGAGCGTGGAAATCCCGTTTCGACCCACCCTGGAAAAGAGCAAACTATTTTTCGAGTGCCGACATGAGGGGTTTATCGTCCCAAGAGTATAGAACACGAGAGCTTACCTTATTCAAACGGCGCAAGTTTAAGGCGAGAAAAATTATTCCAGCCTGGGGGCAGGATTTATTTTCTCTGTAGAATTAATGTCCGTGAGCGTTTCCTGGAATATGTGCAACCAAGTGCGTTTATGTTTAAACCTGATCTCAGATTTAGCAAAATTTTGTTGGCAAATATAGGTGGGATTGAGCCTAACATCTGAGAGCTTCTTAATTTTGAGCTGTGCGTTAATCGATAAAACTGCAAAGTCGATCATTCGCTACCTTAAAATACTGTATGTGATGTAAAAAAAGCCTTGTATTGCGTGTACAAAACTGAACTTCCCAAAAGCTTGGATGTACCGAAGTTTTTTTTTTCAGAACAGTTCTCTGTTCTGAAAAGAAACTTTCCTGTTGCTCCGTAAATTTTATGTTGCTTATGATCTCGATCTTGATCATCACTTCATTGTACATACTGATCGAGAAAATTATACATACTGATCGAGATAATTAGACTATTGCTCTCATTAATTCTTCTCAAATTGAATAGCTTCCAAAGCGATGAAATAAAAAAAATCGAAAAATTACAGAATCGTCTCCCCGAGATGCACTTGAAAGTACAGGAAAGCTACAGCCATCCGTCAATGGTTTTGCTTCAATATCCTGGCAAACATGACATCGAAAAGTAAATATACTTGTACTTATGAAAATTCTTGAAACATTCTCTGAAAATATGTAAAATTTCGAGAAAAGAGACATGTATCTTTTCCGATGTCGTGCGTATCATTCGTATAGGCACGCAGAATCGTATGACAACCCTCACGCGAACACCTGACACCTTCGTTGGAAATTAAGAGGAGATATTTTCTTTGGAGATCTTTCTTTCCAATGCGCGTGCTGTAGTCAGATGCAGATTTATCTGTAACTACTGTATGCATATATGAACTTCATTCACATTCAAATAGAATGAAATTTCATTTCATTTGCGTTCTTTCTCCAGAAATGTTGTAGGTTCAATTTTTCATGATGTAGATACCGGTACAGTATTCAAAAATGTTTCCTAGGGAAAGAAGTCGAAAATATTCTACATTGCCATGACTCATCCTCTGCTGGAACCATAGATCTGTATAAGAAATCAATGACAGCTTCGTTACGAAATTTTCTGGTCAATGATATGGGAGAGATATACAGTACTTGAAACTAATGGGAAAATTGAATATTTTTTGAAAATTTTATACCTGGATGTCCAACTATCCAGAGTATGTTACTCGGGTCGTGAGGGCCCCTGTGTCGTAACAGAGGTTGCCATGAATTTTGTCTTCCCGAGACCCTGTTCCCACCAGGAAATCCGAGATGGGGGCGAAAAATAAAATAAATACGAACACAGTTGCTATCGTCGTGGAATCCCAGAAGGGATGATATTCCGGAACCCGTGGTGGACTAGTTAGGCGATTATGCAAATCCGCTCATCCATCCATGTCCTCCCCGACGATGATTCCCGGATCCTTGTCCCAGCCGGAGTGGTCGCTCAGTTCTTAAATGCGCTTTTTGAGGGACATGAATTCTCGTCGGGGCTGGTGTAAAAGTTGAGCTTAAAATCTCCCGAATGAAGCCTTATCGATGCACGAATACCACATGCGTTGGTCACAAAGCCGATCACTTACGTAATTCTCACTAAGACAGATCGTTGAATTTCACGAAAAAAAAAAATCGTGAATCGGTTCTCTCCATCAGTTCTGGTGCTCACCGAAACCACTCACATCGGTGGGTTACGTTTCCTCAAGCAATCAGCTTAAGCTTCAGCCTCACGGCGAGAGATTCCCAGCCCACAGGAACTCTTTGAACAAGCATAGAAGGCATACCCTTAATATGCTTCAATCACGAACTTCTCGCATGGATGAGGTGGACTTCTATAGTTCCGTGAGTGGAACTCGGAAATTTTGAGAGGCTAGAAAGTCGCTGACAGGGGCAACTTTCGCAATAATTGAGACTACAGTATCCCTTCTCAGAAATGGACTAGCAAAGGATTCGCTAGAGAAAAAACAACTCTGTACCACGGGTCCGCGTACCTGCAACTTGCGCAAAGGAATAATCACTACCGGCCCTACTTCGTCCAAAAAGTTTTTCCGCTGTCACAGCAGGTCGCGCGAAGTTTCTCAGATTCCCAGGAAGAACCGTTTCCGAGTCAAGTTATCTGCATCTCAGATAGTATTAGTTGGAAAGCTCCGGTTATTGTGGCAAGCGGAACATTAACTTGGCCATAGGATGAGGATCCAGGTCCCGCGTGAGGGTGTTATACGGGGGTGTGCAAAAATGAGGTGCAAATTCTAA